CCGACATCAACGAATTCATTGACAAATTCTGCCGCATCACCCGTCAACACCAGCAGCGCTTGCTCCAAGTCAAAGACTCCTGGGAAACCTTCACATGGCAACTGGCCATGAAGATGCGGTCGGGGGCCACCTTCAGCAAAGCTACCAAGGAACTACTGGCCGACACGACCACGATGAACGACATCCTTTCGCAACCAGCCAAGAAACAACCACGGACAGAGACCCGACGTCCACAGAACAACAGTAACCAGTATCGGCAACCCAAGGGCAGAGGCAAGCACACCTGGGGCAACAAAGGGTACCAGACCACTTCGTACCCATACAACAACCAGCCATACGCGACCTGGGGACCAACCCAATTCGCCAACCCCGCCATCCCCTCGATGCCTACAACCCCAGGACCCTCGTTCAAGGGCGACACACCCAAAGGAAAGAAGGGGTCCGGGAAAGGCAAGAAAGGCACCAAATCCCACGGGAAGAACAAGGCGCGTTAGGGACAGCACGGCCCAGGGGACCAGTCCCCTGGAGCCGACCCGGCGCGTTGCCTCCATCTTACCAGACAACTCATACAACACACGCCCATTATCCTGATCTCAGTTTTCGACGGGATCGGCACAGTGTCACTTGCCCTGCACCAACTGGGCGCCAACGTCTCCCACTGTTTCCGGTGGGAAACCGATCAGTCCTGCAATCAGCTACCTCATTCACTCTTCCCCACGACGCACATGGGCGCCGTAGAAGATTTTGACATCGAACAACTGGCTGCGATCATCCAGGACATACCCAATCACGAGAGACACATTATCCTCTTCACCGGTGGCCCACCGTGCAAGGACTACTCCAACATTAAACAACACCAACCGGGCCGGGCCGGCTCACAGGGCAGCCTCTTCGACACCGCACTCTCCATCCGCGACGACATTCAGAACAGATGGCCACATCAATCGCTCACCCTGCTAGAGAATGTCGTGCCTCACCCCGAGGTACGCGACGACTTCGACCAGCTGTCCCACTCCATGGGCCTACGCCCAGTCCTGATCGACGCGGCCGACGGCCAAATCATCTCTCGTCCCAGAATCTGGTGGGCCTCGGTCGATTGGGAATCCTTGCCTGCCACATTGAGCAGGCATACACCTTGGCAACTCTCCCTCGACACTCAGCTGTTCCCACCGGTGCTCTTCAATCCCATTGCAGCCGAACTACAACCAGACTGTCACATCCGGGACTTCGACCCGCCGAGTGTCCTAACACACGGACAACTCTTCCACTGCCTTACCACCCAGGCCAGTACGGACGAAGGCCGCCCACCACCACGCAGCCAACAACTACCAGACGACACATGGCAACGGTGGCAAGCCGACCACAAACAATTCGCCCCGTGGCAATACCAACAGAAATACCTGGTCCGGAAACACGGACACGACTGGCAAGTCGCAACACCCGAGCACCGCGAAGCAATGATGGGATTCCCGCGCGGCTGGACGGGACCACACAACACCGACCGGACCAGGAACACCATGCTGGGGAACTCCTGGCATGTGCCCACAGCCATGTGGATCCTATTCCTTTTGCTACTACAGCCAGCCTTCGGAATTCCCCCGCCCACGCAGCGGGTACGTCGCGGATCCCTCGGAATGATGGTCGACCTCTGGCTTCACAACCCACGACCATGGGGACCACCTCCGAGAGCATCGGAAACGCTACATATGCCACAGAACGACTGGCAGGACCACTTGACCTGGGCCAAACACCACGCTACCTCGCTGCAACAGCCCCAGCACTGCGACCCGACCATTTTGTGGGCCATCGCAATGCAAAGGACCATACCACAACTGCCACAACTACAGCACAACGTGTTACTCGACATCGCGGACCTTCGCGATGACCTGACTACAGATACACTTGCATGGTTCGAACAGCTGCCCCCACACTGCCAGCGAGCCTATCGACAACCGAAGATGATCACTCAGGTACCACTCATGACACACTTGCTACATTTGCTTAACTACCCACAGGCACAACTCCTGCACGAGGAACTCTCTCTAGGCTTCGACCTCCTGGGGCCTCTGCGACCCGGAGTCAATTGGCACATTCGCCACGACCACAAATACCTGGACCCATGTGACCTTGCAGAACTCAGGTCATTCAACAAAGCCTACATCCAGCGCAAATTACAACAACACAAGATCGACGACCACTGGACTCTTATGGCCACCGAAATCGCGGGGGAAGTGGCCCAGGGACGTATGGCCGGCCCCTTCGAGGCACCGACTCATTGGACCTCTCGCACAGTACCCCTGCACCTTTTCCCCCACACCAGCCGGCTCCTTCCTATCCCACATCGCGATCCCATTGTGGCAGTCGCATTCAGCATACAACAGACCGGATCGGACGGAAAACCCAAAGTCCGGAGAGGAGAAGACTGGCGCCGCAGCGGCCACAACCAGACGTGCTCTATGCACGATCAACCCTACCATCACACACCCGACCACTACATCCAATGTGCGAGACAATATCACGACGACGCACACCCGCTACATGTGTGGGGACACGACCACGACGGCGCCTACCGTCAACTGCCCCTCGCACAACCGGAGGTAGCATACGTGCTACTCATCACACCCGACGGCCCAACTCTCTGGCACCACCACGTGCTCCTGTTCGGCTCCGCTGCCAGCGTCTGGGGCTACAACCGCTTCGGCGATGCACTCACAGCACTCGCCCGCGTACTAACACTCACACCTGCCCTGCACTACGTTGACGACTACGGGGCCATACAACCCAGTCACATCGCGACCAGTTCCTTCTCCTCATTCAGCAAGCTCAACTCACTACTTGGATTTCATATGAAGACATCCAAGGAACAACCACCGGCGCCCTCTCACAAAATACAAGGGGTTTATGTCGACCTGTCGGCAACACACGCAACCCTTCGACCGTGCCCAGACCGAGTCCGTACACTGTCACACACCCTGTCTCAGTGTCTCGAACAGGGAGGTATGTCGAACGACACCGCCCGACGCACTGCCGGCAAGTGCAACTTTGTCACCGGACACCTGTTCGGTCGAGTTGGGCGATCGGCGTTAGCCGCCCTATACCACAAAGCACACAGCACTTCCGACCGGATCGACAAACCAACTCGAGCTGCCATTCTGTGCCTCCTGAATATCCTGCAACATAGCTCACCCCGCAGCGTCCCACTGTCCACCAGGCCCAGAGACCTTTCAATCATATACACCGACGCGTTCTGCCGGCAGGGCGAGACGGTCTGGCGTGTCAAGGACGCAGGGGATCAGGATTGTCTGCCACCCGATTGGTCGCACGACAACGGATGGGCAGCGGTGCTGTTCAGCCCACAGGCACAAAGGACCCGCGTGGTCTCGGGCGCACTACCCCCTAACTTACTCCAACAAGTGAGTACTGGCACCAACGCCATTTATTTCCTCGAGGCATGGGCCGCGTTGATCGCTCCTGTGATCTTTCGACCATGGATCACTGACACATACCTCCAGTTGTGCGACAACGAAGCGGCCAAACACGCCATCAGACGGGGAGTTGGGAAACACCAACCACTAAACTGCCTGCTCGGTGCACATTGGACATGGCACAACCGACAGCAATTGCAGTTGCATATTGCCCGTGTGCCCACACATGCTAATATAGCCGACCCCTTCAGTCGACATGACATGTCCCTTGCCTCGAAGCACCACTGGCAGATTCTGGAACCCCCCATGCACGCTCTACATAAACGGACGTGCAAAATCATTGGCGATATTGAGTTCGCCCATGCCGTCGGATTTGACGACATAAAGGAACTCCAACAGTTCCACAGGAATCATTCCTCCTGAACCCGACTTGACTTCCACGTCCCGTGAGAATCTTGTCCACAGTAAGGAGACTTGATCGATGTAAGGATGCCTTCAACGTGCCTTTTGTCTAGGTCGTTCGCCTTCGGCTTCACCTTCGACGGGAGTTGACCTACGACGGGAGAACGTCCACTCCCTCTTCGAAACTCTGCTGTACAACATTTTGGGTTTGCATGCACTTGCATTTGCTTACCTTTTATTTTGTTGTACTTTACTTTCGAGTCAGTGGTGTCTGAGAGACACGCACACCGACTCCAGAGATTGAAACAGATCGACCAACAGGTACGATCCCACCCACTTGAGGCAGTGCGGTGAAAATAAATCGACCGACGCTGGTTGCCGTCGTACTCTCTGGAGCGGTTTGTTGTTGCGGTTAACACTTGTGTTAAAAGTAACAACCGATAGCGGAAGGCATTTGAATCACACTCAGATTCGAACCTTGAGTGCCTGCAGGATGACACTGCTTGATTCATGCTCCGTTCGCCATTTTGGCGAATTAGCCAAATTTTCTTTCCCACCCACCTCACCAGTTTTCACTGCATGCCCTCAGTACCTGTCGGTCTGCATTTATAGCATCGAGTGAGAGGACGGGAGAACGTCCCTCCCTCTTCGAAACTCTGCTGTACAACATTTTGGGTTTGCATGCACTTGCATTTGCTTACCTTTTATTTGTTGTACTTTACTTTCGAGTCAGTGGTGTCTGAGAGACACGCACACCGACTCCAGAGATTGAAACAGATCGACCAACAGGTACGATCCCACCCACTTGAGGCAGTGCGGTGAAAAATAAATCGACCGACGCTGGTTGCCGTCGTACTCTCTGGAGCGGTTTGTTGTTGGGCCCCTATTGCAGTGGCCCCATCCAATTTCAATGCTTCCCAAGTCAGCAGCTTTGGAGTTGCCCATTGTGCCCAAAGGGAGCAGATGGTTTGCGCTGTTGATGGATTCTTGCAGGGGGGCTGGGCGCTACCGCAACAGACAGTATTTTCACATTAGCAAGTCAGCGCAAATTGTGAATGGAACGGCTGTTTATGACGGAAGGATCGCTTGCGATAGGCACCAAGCTTCCGCCAGTTTTGGCTGAGCAGAGGTTCAATGGTCAAGGGCCCGTTGCTTTTGAGTTTCCGTGCTCAGGAAAGGCATTTGGATTTGTCGATGCACCGCACGTGACTCGGCCAATTTATACTCAACCAGTGCAGCCAACACAGACGGTCGTGACAGAATGAGAGCCAAATCAACTGAGGGCGGGGGGTGATTGGATTTGAGAGGCAGCAGATTTGGGAGTGCACTAAGTGCAGTTTCTGAGGCAATGCTGCAGATGCTCGCATTTGCTGGCGCTGTCGAAACACGCGCACCCGGTCTGGCGCACGTCCTCCTGGAGATGCGGACCCTCGTGTGGAAGGCCTCACCGTCATCACTGCCGACTCCTTCCGGGAGCTGGTGGCTCGGACCACAAGGCTGACAGCACCTGACGGCACTGCCAGCAACAAGGTGCTCCGGTTTAGGGAAGTGCCTGCATCTTTTGAGGTTCTTGAGAGCCAGAAGCACGTGCTCGTTGTCGCCAGTGCATCATGGCCCCTGCCTCAGCTCAGCCAACTATGGTCAAGGAGCCCTAAGACCCTGAGAGTGCCCTGAATCGGAGAATCAGCCCAGCTGCATCAAAGGCAACCTGCAAAATGCAATTTGTTGAGTGTGAGGTTGAAGTTACTGCTGCCATGTGCAATGTGTCATTTGATTGTGTGTGTTTGTACAACTGTCTGTACGAAACAATGATTGGTGCTTTGTGTCCGATGGTTCAAAAGGCAAAAGATTGAGTGAAAGGCAACACTAGCCCCTGCGCAAGTGGTGGCACAATGTTTGGATTGAATGAGTCTGTAGAAACGTTCAACATAGCCACCCAGCAATTAACATGGAACCTGACAGGGATGTAGTCCCTTTGAATGGAAAATTGTCTTCCTCCAGGACCCCCCGAACGTCAGGTTCCATGGAAACCGTAGGAGGGTAAGTCATCTCAAGAGCTGCCTATCGAGAGGTGCCCTCCATGCCAGCAGCTGAAGCCCCGGATCCACCGGCTGGCGCAGCTGCTGGCAGCCGAGCCCTCCATTGCGGTGGCCGTCATCGACACGGACGAGAACGACGCTCCATGAGAACTGGGGCGTGCTAGGTGCGGGTACCACGGGTGCCTTCTGGGGGGATGCATTTTGCAGGGTTGAGAATTGATTTGGAGAAAGCTATGCTTGGAGAAAGCTCAGGATGCATTTCGTTGGGAAAGGAAAGTAGCAAATCAATCATTTGGACAGTGCTGCGAGGATGTGGGGGTTGAGGGTGAGGGTGCGCTGCGAGCAAGACTTGCAAATGTGCAGCGATGAAGCAACCTTTTGGCTACTAGGGATGTGTGGGGTCGGAACATGGAACAAAACATGAGCCACAATCAAAACCCGGGTAGATGAAGGTTAACAAGGGACGATCCCAGCCACAAATAGCTGTGGCCGCCTGCTTAATCCTGTACATGGTTCTGGGTAGACCATTTTAGCACCAGGTTTTGATTGCGACTCACATGATAGTAATTTCCTTGACAGCCCAAGATGTGTTGACATTCGTGACAGCGAAGGGTCCCTATTCAGGGGGCCACTCAAACAGCTATGGCTCTGACTGAGGAGCTGCAGAGTCGCTACTTCCCGGAGCCCCACATTCCCAACGTGCCGCTTGACTCATTGACACTGTTGGAGCCGCACTTTGAGGAGTTGATCAGCCATGACCAACTGATGCCTGGTCGGGGCAAGCGTATGCATGATGAGGATTCATGATCAAACTTGGACCGGTCCACCCTGCAACGATTCAAGAGTTCTCAGGCACAGCGGCGGCCCCCCCGGAAACTGCTAGCAAAAAAGGGCAAGCCCTACAATTCATCATGATGTGCTTGTGTGTGGCTTGTGGAAATGTGTATAATTGAGTCCCGACTCCACCGAGCAGCCCCACTCGAGCTTGGCCCGGTTGAGGAAGCTCTTCCTGCAGGGGCAGAAGCGGCAGCCAGTGGCGGTGACGGATGCCTCGGGCATGTCCCTAGATGAGCTGGCAGGGCTGCTTGCGGCATTTAGCGTCAGGTAAAGGGACTAGAAAGGAGCACCAGCCTGACATTCATCCCAAACATGTCGAAACAGAGAGCATCTTGGAAAAGTTTCACTGGCTAGCTTTGAGAGAGAAAGCTATAAACATACTCACCGCGTATTAGAAGCCCCCTTGGAGTGCGTCTACTTGCCCTCCATCTAACAGGAGCGAGGCTTGCAGGAAGGAAAGCAACGCTGAACTCAACTTCCGTCAGAGCATCATGTTGGCTTTTGCTCCAGGCTATGGAATTATCGCGTGGGCTCTGAGGTTTATTGAGCAGCAGACTGGCGTCAGCATCCAGAAGGCCATCGAGAAGGGCTTCCCTGCCTACGCTGAGCGTGTGGGTTGCTCGACCCGCGCAAGCTCCGAGAGGGTACAAACGGTACAAACGGTACACCGAAAGGGCCAGGCTGAAGCCAAACGACTGCAAGACCGTCTCTTGTTTTTCCTTGCACGGCTGGGACCTGCGACACGATATTTGCAGACCGCGAAAAGTTCCTGGGGCCCCAGGTTTGTCCTTCTTGGAAGGCTTTCAAGGGTTTAGCTTTAGGTTAGGCAAAGGAATTGCAGGCGTCAGTGGATGTGCTTTTTCCTTGAGGTCTGGACACAAACTTGGATCTCCCTGCTTTGGATGCATGCTGTGAGGCCTGCTTCAAGAGTCCCAGCCGCTTCTAGACGGGCGAGCTGTTGAACCAGGGTAATTGAACCAGCCCATCAAACCAAGCCAGTTTCAGAAGTGGTTCCTGGCCTCTATTTTACCTCCTTTTTTTGGAGGTTCCAGCAAAGGACAAGAATGACTTTACTGACAATCAACATGTGTTTCCAGCTGACCTGACCAACAAATGTGGCTGTTATGATTCCAACACATGGGCTTGGCCGGTGTTGGTTCAGGTTTTCAGCCATCCCGATTTGAACCGCCGCCTTGGGAACCATGTTCATGTTGGTTGTGTGTTGGTGCAAGGTGATATGAAGTTGCCCCATAATGACTTACCTGATTGGACCGTCTAAGGCCCAAAACCTTCAAACCCTATGCACGACGGATCAACAGTTATCATTGCTTAGCAGTGCTGGTTATCAAAAGGTGGGCACGAGTATGTGTTGACTCTTTGAGCGTGGCCGGCACGACGGGGTCAAACTGACAAATACGTCAGGGTATAAAACCCGCGGTTCCAGTCAACACGTCCTCACCGTTTGCGTGGCCAAGGTGTTGCGCCCTTGCTTGAGAAGCTGAAGCGGTGCGCCATGACCAAACTCGTTGGGCGCTCTGCTGGTCAACCGGCACTGAAGGCTTTAGCTGCATTCCTCTACAACGAGCTGATCACAGGTTGCCAGGCCTTGCTTGGCTTGAGCATGTGTGTGTGTGTGCGTTGTGTGTGTGTGTGTGTTTTTTGTTCTTTGTTGGTAGCAGTTCAAAGAGGGCTACACATGGCTTCACATGAGCTGTTGCGTGTGCTGGGGGAGGGCTCTCGCAAGCGCTTCCTCTCGGCAGGAGGCCAGAGAGGCTCCCAAGCTGCCGGGCCCACCCATGCTGCAGCGGGCGATCTCCGCCAAGAGCACGCAGAAACCGGCGGCGGGCCCGCCCGTGCTGAGCCGGGCCGTGTCCGGGGGCGCGCGTCAGCGGCTGGGCTACTCCCCCGTTCTGGCCATGGGCAGCGCTGACCCGCGGCTGACCGAGCGACTGCTGGACGAACTCTTCGAAAAGCAGCTGCTGGGTGTGGTGCGGGTGGCTCAGCCTGAGGAGCTCACGCCCTTTGTGCGGGCCTTCCTGCTCAAGGCTGCCGGCCCCGCTTACAACCACACCACCTTCTTCAACGCCATTCTGCGGATTTCATGGCAAGTGGCCCCGCTAGCCGAGAAGCTGGTGGCCGCCACCCGGATCCTTCGCGCCATCATGCGGTGGGCCTCCCAGCGCCGGGCACTGGTGGGCCTTCCTCCGCTCATGGCGCCATGGGCTCCGCCACCTGAGGCCACCGAGATGAGTGCGGCTGCGCAGCGCCACAGCTGGCGGCGCATCGAAATCGCCTTGGCCAATGAGGAGCACCGGCATGGGCTGTCCGAGCTGGGCCTGCTGCTGGATCGAGGCTTGCCTCCTGACACGGCACCTTTCGGCATCACCCCTCTGCTGCTGGCCGCTGCCATCGGCCACCTGCCAGCAGCTCAGTTCCTTTTCGTGCGTGGTGCCAGCCCCCACGTGGCCGGGGGTCAGCCACCCTTGCTGCCGGTGGAAGCTGCGGCGCGGCACAACCATTTGCGGATCGTGGAGTTGCTGCTGGAGAATGGCGCGGTGGCGGGCAGGGCACTTCACTTCGCTGCTGCCGGCGGCTCCACGGACGTGGCCAACTACTTGTTGTCCAAGGGCTGCTCGGCTGATGCCGCAGTGCAGGGCTTGTCGCCTGTGGCTGCTGCGCTCATCTCCAGGCAGCACGCCATGGCTTTGCTGCTGCTGCCGCACTGCAATCCAGAGGCATTGGCAGCCCCCTTATCGGATGAGGGGTGTGCGGCCGCCGGCTTAGCCACTGGATCCACCCTAGCGCATCTCGCAGCTTCGGTGGGTGGCTTGTGCGAGACCTTCGTCCTAGGACTCATGAGATCTCTCCCCCCAGCAGCATGCTTCGCTGACAATAGCCGCGGTCAAAGCGCCCTGGACTTGATGCCAACCACCTTGCGCATCGCTGTGAAGCCTCAGCTCTACAGCGCAGCTCGCCGGAAATTTGGTTGGGCTTGTAACTAGCACTTACGGTATCTTACGGTTTGCACCTTCAAGCTTCTGCTGGAACAAGTGTGCGTGTGTGTGTGTGCATATGTGTGTACATGTGTGAATATGTGTACATTTATATGTGTGTGTGGGTGTGCGTGTGCGCGTGCGCGTTTGCGTGTGGGTGTGGGTGCGTGTGCGAGTGCGTGTGCGTGTGCGTGTGCGCGTGTGTGCGTGTGTGCGTGTGTGCGTGTGTGCGTGTGTGCGTGTGTGCGTGTGTGCGTGTGTGCGTGTGTGCGTGTGTGCGTGTGTGCGTGTGTGTGTGTGCGTGCGTGTGTGCTGCGTGTGTGCGTGCGTGTGTGCGTGCGTGTGTGCGTGTGTGTGCGTGTGTGCGTGTGTGTGCTGTGTGCGTGTGTGCGTGTGTGTGTGTGTGCGTGTGTGTGTGTGTGCGTGTGTGCGTGTGTGTGTGTGTGCGTGTGTGTGCGTGTGTGCGTGTGCGTGTGTGCGTGTGTGTGTGTGTGTGTGTGTGTGTGTGTGTGTGTGTGTGTGTGTGTGTGTGTGTGTGTGTGTGTGTGTGTGTGTGTGCGTGTGCGTGTGCGTGTGCGTGTGCGTGTGTGTGTGTGTGTCTGTGCGTGTGTGCGTGTGTGTGTGTGTGTGCATGTGTTTGTGTATGTGTGTGTGGGTGTGTGTATGCATGTGTGTGTATATGTGTGGGTGTGTGAGTGTGTGTGAGTGTGTGTCTATGTTTGTTTGTGCGTGTGTGTGTGCGTATGTGCCTGTGTTTGTGTGTGTGTGTTTGTGTGTTTGTTTGTGTGTGTGTGTGTGTGTGTGTTTGTGTCTGTGTCTGTGTTTGTGTCTGTTTGTGTGTTGGTGTGTTTGGTGTGTGTGTGTGGGTGTGTGTGTGTGTTTGTGATTGTGTGTGTGTGATTGTGTGCGTGATTGTGTGTGTGCGTGATTGTGTGCGTGATTGTGTGTGCGTGTGCGCGTGATTGTGTGCGTGTGATTGTGTGTGTGTGTGTGGCTGTGTGTGTGTGTGATTCTGTGTTTGTGTTTGTGTTTGTGTTTGTTTGTGTGTTTGTGGTTTGTGTGTGTGTCTTTGTGTTTGTGCGCAATGCGGTTGGTTATCATGCAGCCTTTTGCCGTCGTGGTTTCAGAGAGCCCTTGCCGGGAAACCGCGTAATTAACGGGCTTGATGCAAAGAGCATGCCAAATATTTGTCAGCTTCCTGAAATCCACGTGAGGCCTTCCGAAATATGCTTCTAATTTGGTTGACACGCCCTCGTATTGATGGAGCTTGCTACTGTAACCAAGTATGAAAGTCAGTTTGGCTTGCAAGCTTGCAGTTTGCCGACGCCGAAGATTGGAGTCAGTGACGTTGTTGTCAAGTGATGCCGGCCTCCGAGAGCAGGAGTTCAACTAGCATTGCCTTACAGCCCGCTTAAGGAGGCACACTTGATTCGGGGCAATTACATGTTTTGACAGCACTATTTTGCCAGATGTTGCGAAACGGGTAGCAAAGCCATTTCAGTTGATCACCCTAGGCTTTGGCGGCTGCAGTTCTGGATCAGGATCCGGCCGCGCGCGTGGAAGTGGTGAGCCAGGTGCTGCAAGCTGGAAGAGCGGACCCTCGGGCGATGGACACGCGCGGGTTCAGCTTGCTGGACCTGGCGGCCTACACGGGCTCTGCGCCTTTGGTGGACCTCTTGGCGGCGCACGCGTCGACGGGTAAGCTGTCGGCACTGATGTGGGCGCACTGGGGCGGACAGGACGAGGTGGTTTTGAAGCTCACCTCCAAAGGAGCGAGTTTGAGCAATGCGGACTTAGAAGGATTACAGCTGTTGCGGTCTGCCAGGGCCAGTCTCAGCGATGAGAGCGACAAATCCAGGGGAGTGAGGCTTTTGGAGCCTGACGCCTCCCAACTCTGGCGTGGCTGCTGGCCACCGTACCTTCCTCAGCAGCTGTCACCCAGCACAAACACCTACCTGTGCGCCGCCCAGCCCTTGATGCAGCGCATGACCTGGGGGGCAGGAAAGGACAATGGGGTGGCCATGCCGGGAGCCACTGCTGCGGAGGAAGAGGAAAAGAAGACAGAAGCTACCCAAGCTGAGGCAGGGTCGGGCAAAACTGGTTCAATCAACAACTCGTTTACCCCTTGTGGAACATCTAGTGTAAGCAACAGGGTCGCTTGGCCCTGAGAGGAGCTGCTAGAAGCCATCAAGCTCACAGGAGCGAAAGCAGAGGCGGTCGCCAGCGCGCAACTGTTGGCCCTCCGGCTCACCGCAGAAGGGCAGGTGGGACTTTCCCCAGCCAACATCATTGCACTCAACCTTTTCCTCATGGACACCTCCTTCCACAGCCGCTTGGCACTTGAATTGCGGCGTCGCAAGTTGCATGTTGCGAAACTTCAAGTTGACTCAACCAAGAAGCTCTGTGTGGAAGCTTCATGTGATTCCGGTCCGTTTGGATGGTTTTTGCATGCAGTTTGGGCTCGGGGCAATCTTCGTTTCGCCAAGGTGAGGTCAACACTGCGATGGCCGCGCAGTTCTCGCAGAGCCCTGCTCCATCAGTGAGGGAGCGAGCGGCGGACATCCAAGCCGCTCATGCTACTTTGCTGAAATCGAAGGCGCCAGGCGCTAGGCTTCATGTTGCAGCACAAGCACTGCCCCTACTGTATAATATATATATATATATATATATAGACTATTATAATATTATGATGTTCAGCTCATTTGAATAAACAGTTATGCGATAGAAGGCTGGGCCGAGCTGAGAATCTTGCCTGTGCCAAGGCAGAGCTAGCTGATGCGCTCGAAGCCTTGCCAGCCCGCAAGGCACAGGGATGGAAGCGTGACACCTTGTGTCACCGGGCGTTGCTTGGGACTCAAGTAATTAAAGCCAAATGAAGAGCGGGGGTACCCTCATAGAGGGCTCTTCTCCATTGCGGGTGGTGGATACGGAGACAATGCATGAGGGGATGCTGTTACGGGCCGCCACTTCTAGGAACCAACCCTGAGGTGGTGTGCTTCCGAGCTGTGCGCTTGGCGCTGCCAGGGGGCTTGCGAGAGCTGCTGAGAGGCCACCGGCTTGGCATGGACTGCCCCCTGGCATATTGATGGCTCGCCGGCTTTGGCTTTGATTTGCTCTGCTTTGTCGCTGCTTTAAGCATCCTCACACTCCAGGTGTGCAGGCTGCATCCCAGGAAAAAGGCTACAGTGTCCAACTGGATGCGCGCATTCAACACCATGGAAACAAGTCATTAAACATCATCACGAAGCAGCGTGCTCCAAATTGGGGCTGGAGATTGGCAGCAGTGGCAAGATCAGAATTTTGGTCAGGTTATCGGCCTGGCAGCATAGTGATGTGGAGGACCGCATCGGGCACGGGGCTTGCTTTCCGCGCCAGCCGTTCAATGATCAGCATCAATGCCACATCACTGGCTGAGCAGGTGATCCTACCATTAACACCGGCAAAGAAATCAGCACTGTGACTCTGGCTGGGTCCAGCAAAGTGAGCATTCTTGTTCTCGGAAATGTTTCTGGGGCTCACCACCATTGAGAGGGCAACTTGGGGATGTCGCTTTCGTGGACCCATTAGGTCGCCCAGCGCCAGGCATGCTACCTCCTGCACACAAGATCCAGCTTTGGCAGAAGAGTTGGCGCTGCATGGCGAGCCGGCAGGTGGCTGCGGTGTAGTTTTCAAGATCCGCAACTCGGGCACCCAACGGGGATCCCAAGTCGGTAAAAAGATGTTTTGAAGAATGGGTGGGCGTGAATTCAAGAAGGGGATCCTGATCCTTCCTCATTTGCTCGTTCATTTTTAGACCTCCATTTCCCCGCCACAAAACTGCCACGAGGATGAGCTTGTAGAAACTTCTTGCAGCACCCCATTTGCCACATGAGGCCGTGCATTGAGCCACTGTAAAATCGGAAAGTTTGGTTCACTTCATTCACCTACGGGAATGCTAGTCTGTACTGGCTGCCGAAGCCTTTTATGCCCGCTCAGTGACTCAGGCAGAACGGCAAGTGCTCGACCAGTGGCAGACTTTTCGGCAACGCCAGAGCAACAAGAGGCGGCAATGAAGGGGCAGTGCTGCACGCCTGAAAGATTGCCTTTGTTGGAGCAGCGCGCATGGCATGCCGTTTTGCCCGTATGTGCAAGCTCCAGGTGGTTTTTGCTCCTGGCACCATCTTCCGCGTCGTGGGCTTTTACCCTTGCACGCAGCACTGCTTGAGGCCGGGATGATGTCAACCTTCCAGTCCTTGCCCACTCACTACGCTCCATGTAAAGTCTGGGTTTTCTGCGGTCCCGTGGTTTAATTTTGACCCAATGGCGTCAAAGTGGCACGCCGGCGCGCCTTGGCGCGCCTCGCAGGAAGGGCACCTTGAGCGACGGGCCCTGGGCGGCGGAGCTGGGCTCCGCGGCGGCGGCCTCGGCGGCGCGCAGCGAGGCCTTGGCCTGGGAAGAGGCGCGTGGGCGACGTGGGCGACGTGGGCGATGGGCGATGGGCACGTGGTTGTGGTTGTCAAAACCAATGGTACCATGTTGAGGTAGCTGAATTCACCACGGATTTGGGAACCTATTGTAGTGGGGATTGGGGTGTTCAGTGGGGGTACGGGATTTTGACCCATGGCCACATGGGAAACCGAGTGAAGGGAGGGTTAAATGCTTTGGGGGTTTTGCACGGTGCATCTCACCTTCAACTCGATTCGAACCAACTAAACCTGTTGCCCCCCACCCCGAGGCAGAACACCATCGTCGCCCACCCTGTCGCACCACCCGTCAACCTCCCCATCACACCCCATCATCATCCTCCGCCTCGAACCCCCATGACCTAAAGCCGGAGAGCCCCAGAACCATTCGCCCGCGCAAAACTTGCTTGGACGGAGGGCACTGCAAGGGAAGCAGAGGATTGATTCGCCTCGCTTGGAAACCTGAGTTTCAGGAAAACCCAAGCACCAAACAGTGTGTTTTTGAGTCCCCTTGCTTTGACCATGTTGGTTTGTTTGTTCCAGTTGCAGGATATGCTAGGATCTATCTCCACGTTGCCCCGGTGCCTGTTGGTGATTTCTTGTGCCTTGTCAGTAGGCCACGAGGTGTGTGTGTGTGTGTGTGCGCTTGTGCTTGTGCTCGTGTTTGTGCTTCTGCTTGCATTTGCCTTTGCTTTTTTCGTTTGTGTGTGTGTGTGTTGGGCTGCTTCAAGTTGTTTCCGCTTCTCCTCCGCAGCCTGTTCCTGTTCGCTGCTCGTGTTTTGTTATTATTATTATTATTGCTATTATTCTTATTAGTTGTTTTTTTTTCATTATTATTATTATTCTCATTATTATCATCATTATTTGATCATGCATGCGCCTGCGCTCAATAATTTGCACAAGTGGCAGGGTAAGCTGGACTTCAGGGTGCTTTTGCAGTGTGTGATTGGCACGTGGGCCACTTTTTATGAGATTCCACAGTAAGCGAACTCACACACACACACAGAATCAATACTGCCCGAGCTACGGGCGTTTGCCTTGCCAAATTTATGTCAAGATGGCAGCCGTTGAAGCACCTGATCGAGACTGAATGGCTGGATGTCGCCACAGCTTTTCAACATCAGCTTGGGACAAAAGCGAAGAGGCCTTTGGACCAGTTTCTCTACTTTGCCTGGTTCCATGTGTTGTCACGCATGCAAGTCATGTGGCAGGTGGAAGTTAGAAAGTAACTCTTTGGATTTATTGTTTTCTGTGCGTGGGTCATGCACTTACTTATGCGCCATGGTGCGTATGCAAAGCTGCTACGGCAATGAATTCACACCCATTTTCCATTCAGACTTGGGCTCTGATCAGTCGGAGAAGGGTAGTGACGAGTCAGGGAGTCAAGAAGGAGATGATATTCAGGAAGGTGACTCGGTAGCGGATGAGTCCGAACAGGAAGACCTTGACGGCGCATTTGCAGATGCCAAAGACCGATGGAAGATTGATGCTGAAACCTTGAAAGGGTTCTACCTCCACAGTCCTACTGGTCAGCTGTTTAGCTGGGACCAGGCACGAGGAGTTCTCTATGAGTACATCCGTGGCTCAGGGGAGTGTCGCCCTATTTGGGCCGCCGGTGCTCCACATCTCAGCTCTGAGATTTGGACAGTGCTGCCACTGCCTCCCACAGACCCTGCCAGCCTTCAAACTTCCACCAGCTCCAGCCGGGTTCTTTGCATCTTGCACCTCTCGCGGGCTCGGGCCGCGATCCGAGCTGCCGCAGCCTCCGCGGACTTTTGCGAGCGCCTGCGCCTCAACAGCCGCGCGCTGGATGCCCTGCTGTCGCTGCCGCCGCCGGGCCAGGCCTACGTGCTGCGGACGTTCTGTGCTCCGCACCAGGACCCCTCCGGTGCCCTCCGGCGACAGGTTGAGAAGCTGCAAAGCATGGGCACTCAAGCGCCCTATGCTTCAGCTGTGGAGGAGGCGACTCTACGAGTTCCTGCTTCGGGAGCCATTTTGGGCCGCTGCGTCCCAGAGATTGCGGCCTTGTGCTGGAATGAGACTGACCCTGTGGCTGCTGCCCATTGTCGCATCGCACATGTAGACGGGGTGTACTCAGTGTGTGATCTTGGGGCGGACGAGGACGGCACGCTCTTCGACGGCAGGCGCCTCGGCTCTGAGTGGTGTCCTTTGAAGGACGGCTGCGACATCGACATTGGGCCCATCCGAATGCACGTGGAGCTAAAGCCGGTGACAGCTGATGGCACAGAGGATTTGACTCGCGTGGGTGCTCCTGACTCCGAGGCAAAGCAGGTGCCTCAGCGAGGCTCCTGGAGAGCTGTCAAGAGAGGAGCCGCAGAGCCCTTTGATTCCGTCAAGCGGCCAAGGCCAACAACTCCAGCGCCTCCAAAAAGTGAGGCGCCGATTTGTGTTGCCATAGGCAGTGCTGCCTTAGGCAATGCTACTGAGGCTGGCAGAACTAGTAGAGCTGGTAGAAAGGAGATCGTTGACGTGCCGGACAGTCCTCCACTATCACCTATGCGCTTTACCCTGAACGAACCAGTCGATGATCTTCTGCAATTGCAGCGGCGGCGTGCCCACTGTCCCTCGCTTGGGGGAGCTGGTCGTGCATTCTGGGCCGTTCCTCGAGATCCATCTCCCGAGCCATCTCCTGATTGGGTTCCCAAAACGCCTTGAGCAGTCAGCACCAAAAAGGTGCTCCGCCAGAAGGGTGACGAGGCATGGGTGCAGCGGCCGGTTGCAAATCAATTGCCGGGCTGCCATGAACTTGTGCAGGTGTCCCGGGCGCGCAGTGCAATGGCTGCTTGGTTGCACAGGTGACGAGCCATGGTGCTTAGTTGCAAATTCTCGCTGTTGTTTGCATGCTAGCTTCGATAATTGCCCAAAGCCCATTGTTGGGCACATGCGCGAGGTCTTGATGGACGAGGAGGATGCCGGTTCGGTTCAGCGGACCGATTTGCCACTGTAAAGTGGCGCAAGGTATGCGACACAGAATTACGCGACTCGCGACACATACATATTGTCACAACTTGGAAATTTACAAAAGAAGCCTGCAGAGCAGAGAAGCACTCACGATTGAAACACCCAGCATTCTACATGAGCAGCTGCATGGTGCAAAAGCATCACGAAAGCAAACATGCTTGGAACTGGCAAGGTCACAACAACAAGTGGCCTGCCTGAAATGTTCTACTCATAGCTGTGTGGCCGGGCAGGGCTAACACAACGAAGAGCGCTTGTTCACGGCTGGACAACGGCACTAGATTGTTATGTAATGAGCCTTGCCTGGCTCATTCGAGCCTTCAAAGCTCCGCCTAGAGCATTGTACAGAATGCTCAGCAGCGATTCAGATTCAGATGTGCTCCTGGTGCCTGAATCCCTTTGCCAATGCAGAAAGCCGGCGTGCAGATTATTCTAAGTGCAATCAGTGGATTTCTAGTCTTAGGCTACCCCCTGGCAAAGCCTGGTAAGCAGAATCTGTTCATGCTGCAGGGCAATTGGTTTCCAATATTAGAAAGAGGATAAAGCGACCGAAGTAGTAAAAAGCCCAAGTGCCGCGCGTGCCGGCCGCATGGAGGCTGTGTGGCCTTGCTCTACTCTCCCCTTGCCTAGCTTCCGGGGGCGTTGGCTAATGTCCTTCCGCCGCCCTTTTACATCAATCAGCTGGGCGGGCTATGGCAGGCGGATTGATTTTGCCCCTAATCTTGATAAGCTCCGCTCAGGGCTGGATGCGCATATTGGACAATGTGCAGGAAGTGGTGAAGCAGGATATCATCCACCCTTGCCGAAAAACCCCAGCAGATCATGGGTAATTGGTTGACAGCCAGCCAGAACCATGACCCTCGCAAGTCACCTTGATTAGCATCCAGAGGCCATGGTCGAATGATTCAGCTCACCAAGGATGTCCGAGGGCGCCCCTTGCCTTAGGAAGTGCGTGGAGAGGGCTGGGAGTTTGAGCCACGATGGCTTGCCGGCCACCAGCCGTACCAGCTGTTGCGTTCTGTGCGCATTGGTGGCATTTTTTCAACTAAGGATGTGGTCCTCACATGCAGGGCCATGTCGCGAGCCCTTTCTCCGCCTGCAAAGCTGCCGACCTGTTCTGCATGGATGGTGGTTGTGCCTTGGGGAGCTTCAAGCGACCCAGCAACTAGGATGTTGGCGACCTTTGATATGATGGACTAGGGCTAGGTGTTGAGATAAAACATGAAAATACAGAATTGAATCTGGGTTTTGGGGTTGAGTGCTTGTTGAACATGGTAGTGTTTGGGTAGTTTGCCGAGGACAGCTAGCTGGCAAACGGTTCAAGAGCTTTGGGATTGAAGTTGATTTGCTTGGGGGAGCTGCAACAAATCATTATTCAGGGGACCCTCCCCGGATATATTTATACATGCTAATATATAATTATATATAATTATATATAATTATATATAATTATATATAATTATATAATTATATATATATATATAGTGTGTTACTCTTTAAGCAGTCCCCCTTTGTGGCTTGACATTCGAAAGACATTTTCTATTGCAGTTGAATTGAGGTCGAGATGTTTCCCACAATGTAGTTTTGACCGTCCATGCATTCGTTGTCCAATTTGCTTGGATTTGTTTCTATTTGTTTGGGTGGTGTTGCTTGCTTTGTTTTTGTTTTTTGTTTTTCTCACATCTTCCTGCTATTTCCTGGTGCTGTGTGCAGTTCAGAGGGAAGCTCAGTGATGCGCGATGGATTTGTTAGGTGCCAATACCTTGGGGGGCATGAGGGAGTCAGCTCCGAAGCTTCGGTTCCAATCGCGCATGCCGCACTGAGGTGCTTACGGCTGTGGGCATGGCCCTGGCCAACCTTTGCGCCTTGGCGTCAGGGGCCATAGCCATGGCAAGGTGGCCATGAAAGAGCTCACTTCCTGAGTTCATGAACTTTAAGCTTTCTGGGAAGAAAGTTGAGACTTTAGTCTTGTCGACCAATCCACTCAGGAAGAGAAGGAACTCATTGGTTTTGTTGTAGCAAACGATGCGGAACAAGTTGATGCAAGTGCGTTTGAGGTAATAGGAAGTAGGTCACTTTGCACATGGAGGGGCCGAGGGCCGAGCAGAGCCCCAAATGGCAAACGCCCAGGCACGGTGTTCACCATAGAGTTTCTGGTGAGATTCAAGTTCAACACCATGCAGGCTGCTTTGGACCGAGGCCCTGCCCGCAACCGCAGGTTGATTTATATTTGTTTTTGAAAGGACAGGTGTCCTGAAAGCCAACCTGCGGGAGCGCGGGATTTGAGCGGTGGGATCCCTGCAGGCGGCATTGCTGCTGGCATGTTCGCCTTGATGGGCCTGGCCGCGACCTTTGCAACCTTGGGCACGGCGATGGTACACGGACTTCAAATGTGTCGCAAGCCGCCCCGGTTTCCAACAGTGCCGAATCCGTTTATTTCGACGGGTCAGTCACGTCACTTGATATTTGATTAAGTGTGTGAGAGTGTAAGGCACTTGTTTTGCACAAGGCTGCCATGCTTAGCCTTTGCGACTGTTCCCATCGCCTGGAAACGGTATTGATGAAGGGCCGTGGTCATATCTTCGCTTGGTGCCAAGAGAAGATGGCTCGCCAGGACTTGCACCTGATGCTGGCGGCTCGGGAGCACCAGAGAACAAGGCGGATCGCCTTCAGCCGAGCACTTGATGATATGTGTTAAGATAGCCTGGTTGACAAAGATGCATGTCTGGGCAATATGCAAAGGGAGGCCGGGGGTTCTTGAAAGAGGGAGAGGCCTCAGTGGATGTTGACGAACTGCTATGTTTCCCGGGGCATGGATTTGAACACCGATGCTAGCACTAAAATAGTGGCAACTTTCATGGGAGGACATGAGTCACAGACTTCAGGCATGTTCATACATGCCATGTGCATGGTAGATCGTTTGTGAATGTCGCAAGTGTGTTTCTATCTAATTGCTTTTGCAGTCACCGCGAAAACTGCGCCATACCTGTGGTGGCCGAATGAATCCGGGCCAGGTGTTCCCAAGTGCGCTACCTTGTTGTGCAGAGTGCTTTTGTGTTGAAGGGGCTGCCGCTTGCGTGTGCTTGTTGAAACTGGAGGGCTGGCTGAACGGCTTCAACCTCTCCAAAATGTTTACAAAGCGAATCTTGGCAGAGATTCGTGCAAATGCACGCGCACCCCACCAGGAAGCCTTCAATTGTTGCCCCTTTGAACTGTTCCATCCATACAACATAATATGATGTATGTGCCATTGCGCTTGGGGACTCATGGCTGGTTGTGCTGCGAAAGCTGCGCAATCGGAACTCAGGAATTTTGGCTGTCCGATTTGTTGCTGTGATCCTGTCCAACGCGACGGGGTATCCATGCGGCCGCGAGGGCCCCACAGCTTCGTGGGCTGCAACTGGTGTGCATGTGCTGCACGCTCCAGAACTAGAATTGTTTCGCAGTTTTGCTTGATTTCCGTGCATGCCTTTCTTCATGAGGCTTGTAAGGGTTGAGATTGGGCACAACTGGAGCGCTCAATTGTTTCAGGTAACTATGGGCAGCAATTTGGCATTTCTGCTGTGCCGCTGGGTCACCAAGCAGCATGCAGATGCCAGGGTGGCTTGGCTGAATTCATGGGCAGACGCAATGCAACACCTCTTTGTTTTTCGTGGCAACTTGAAACAGCTTGCAGAAATTTGTTGAGAGCTAGAGCTCTAGAAACAGAGGGCACCTTCACGAAATTCTTTGCCGGTGGTTTGCGGGGCTTCTTGTACTTGACGCTGGTTCTCGATGATACTTACTGAGTAGACTTACTGCTCTCGGCTGCGCATGGATGTGAGCTGTCTTGGGTGGTAGCTGAGGAATGGATCGACTTGCAAGGTGGCTCTCCAGGCGTCAAACTCAACATTCCTGCTGGAACACTTGGCTTGAAGGAGCACAGAAAGAACAACATCCATTGATGCGATTGGACTCCCTCATTTCGTTCGGTCTTGAATTGCGGGCTGGGAGCATGGACCCTCCCTGCATGTTGCCCCATCCAGCTTGATCATTTGCTTTGCAGCTTTGAGTGACTTGGGCTTGAAGAGCCTAAATTTGAGATGATGACCCGTAGCTCCTTCTTGTTTGCTTGTGAACGGGTTAGTGGACATTTATTTTCTGTTTAGCTACCATGGTTGAGCGGCCAGGGGCCCTGGCAGACGAGCACTTCTTCGCGCGCGCTGTGCGAGTGGCCTGCATCGTGGGAGGCGCCTGTGGGATGGCCATGATCTTTGATTCGCCACTAGGTGGCATCCTCTATATGCCCCTTGGCCGCGACGCTGTGGCAGAGCGACCCCTCACTATCTGCAACATGGTCAGACAAAGCTGATCATTTGCAGGTGTGGCGCGGGGGGAGGGTGGCGGGGTGCTGAGTAGGGCGGTTGTGGAGCAGTTTGTAAAGACTGCTCTGGTTATATAGATGCAAATGTAAGGCAAAAATGACATGCTTCCGCTGTGCGCACAGAGCTCCAAGATGCCCACGCAGAACACGTTGTTGAATACTTGCGGTTGGTTGAAACCGCATGATGGCATCGGATCCCAATCCGGGGCGGGGTCCAACATGATTTGGTCGAGGTTTGAAGAGGTCACTTCGGCGTCCTGGCCGATGGAGCTGACCTTTAAAGCCTTCGTAGGCTGTGTTATTTGCACCTCTGTGCCTTGGTCCCGAAATAGAAGGGCAAGGGGGGCGCTTGAGATGAGCGTTCCTTCGCAGGAAAACATGCAGCGACCATGGTCAACACACGGGCTTTTGTGTTTTGACAGGTCTTGCCAGCCATTTTGGGGCCTGGATTGAAGGCTGAATCTGGGAGGGCTACGCAGTGCCATCACGCGCAAGTTTACGTGGACATTACGTGGACATACCTCTCTCCCGTTGCCCAGGTGTCGTATGCCTTGCTGGCAGTTGCAAAAAAGAGCATACGAGACGCTCGCATGCATTGCCAAGCCCAGCTTGGCTGCGGCGCCAGAACCTGTTTCGCAGCGCACCTGAACCACAGCAATGCCAGAAGCGCCGCATGAAAGTCGTGTGAGCAGTTTGCACTGGGGAACTCAGGATTTTGTGATCTTTGAGATGTGGTACGGTCCAGACAGTCCTGATTATTCTGCATTGGACATCCCTGGGTTTATTCTCGTATCCGGTATTTTGGGCCTGCTGGCCCCATTGCATACAAAGTTATGCCTATCGGCTGCTTGGCAGCACCTCTCGAGCATATATGTCCTCGCCTGGGCCTGCACGGGGCACTGACTCCCAGGTTGTCGAACTCCGGAAGCAGCTGCATGGCGGGCCCTTGCGAAAGTGCCAACCCTGGGCGAAGATGCTGGACACGGTGATCTTTGCCGTTCTTTGCGCTGCTGCCTGAAGCTCAGTCTCAAGCCATGCACCATGGACCCACAAAGGCGGAGAAGTGAAGCCATTGCGCCTTGTGAAGCCTTTCAACGATGGAAGGGAAAAAAGATGAAACGACGGGCCTTTTCAGAGACAATGGTTGCTCAAAACCCTCCTGCGCACTTTCATGGCAAACGAGGCAGTGGCTGCTACCAGCTTTGCTGGACTTTGTACGCCAGTTCCGGAGCAACAAAGAGAACTGAGCCTCCCGACCTGACGTAGGTCAGACCACTTCAACCACAGGTGACAGATTGGTTGTGTTAGAAGTGTGTTTGTTTTGAGGCGTCCGTTGTTTTTGTAAAAGTTGCACTTCAGCCGAGTGTTATTGTTCTTGTTCTTCTTGTTCTTCTTGTTCTTCTTGTTCTTCTTGTTCTTCTTGTTCTTGTTGTGGTTCTGGTTGGTGTTGGTGTTGGTGTTGTTGTTGCTGCGGTTGTTGGTTGTTGGTTGTGTGATGCTTGTTGTGGCTGTGGGTGTTGCTGTTGCTGGTGCTGTGGTTGTTGCTGTTGTTGTGCTTGGTGTTGGTGTTGGCGTTGGCGTTGGCGTTGGCGTTGGCGTTGGTGTTGGTGTTGTTAGTGGCGCTGTTGTTTTCTTGTTGGTTTTGTTGTTGGTGTTGGTGTTGTTGCTGGCGTTGTTGCTGGTGTTGCCAGTGTTGCTGCTTGGATTGCTTGACTCTGTCCCGTTTGCCATCAGGTTATGTTCGCTATCAGTGCCCATATGGCTCCTACAACCCTGTGGCATCATTGCTGCTGACGACTGCCGAGGGGGCTGTCAAAATCTTGTTTAGTCGTGAGAGCCTTGATTGCACTCTGTGAGACAGCTCACGCCCCCAAGCACGCGTACTGGCCGCTTTTTTATTTGCTCTTGGATCATGCTCAATTCCTGAAGCATGGCAATCTGGTCAGCATTTTGGTTGAGCGTGCGGAAAGAATGCGGAAGCCCCGAGGAACGCTCAAGCTTTCGGTTGCTTGGCAGATGTGTGGCAGATTCAAGGTCAAAGAGTTGAATGTTTGGGTGCACTTGTGATGCAGCACTTGCCGAAGCTTCTTGTGGGGATGCTTGATTTGGAAAGACTCGCCCAGCTGCCATTGTGGCAAAGTATCCTTCCCTCACAGCCCAATGCCCACCGCTTAAGGTGCAGAATCGTCTATTGCGCTCTTTGGCAACAATGTGAGGTTGGCCTGGCACCATGTCGCATGCCTCTCCGGTATTGAAGGAACACATGAGGCGCAGCGACATGTAAGTAGCCAAGACCTGCACCCAACAGCAGCTGAACATGCCAAGGCTTTTCACCTACTTCACCATGAACGTCGCTTTCTCGGGCGTGCCCGTGCCGAGCGGAAATTTTACGGGCACGATGATGATTGGCGGCCTTGCAGGACGTTTAATTGGCCATTGGTTATCGCAGCTTTTCCCCGACTCTGGTTTGGCGCGCTCTGGCATCTATTCAATGATAGGCCGGCAGCTTTCGAATGAGAGTTTGATGCTGCGCAGTCAGAGGGGCAGAGCTTTCCAGCTTGAACTCGACTGACTTGGCAGATTCTTAGCCCCCGCGCGGCTTGTCCCTGTTAACACAAGCTAGGGTAACGAGAACGTCAAGTTGGATCTCGGAACAGGCGCGGCTGCCATGCTCTCCAGCTTCAAGCAAATGACCATTGCAGTGGTCCTCTTCGTCAATACGGCGTCGAACAACGTTGAACTGGGCCCCCCTCTCATGCTGGCGGTATCTTGGCAAGGCCTTGCAAGAATGAACCTTATGTCGCAACCCGCCGCAAGATAAACAGTATGTATATTGCATTTATAGATGTATATATGCATAGGGATATGTACATAAGACAAACAGATATGCAGCATATGTGTACAGAAGCGTGACATGTGGGCGTGACGTTTTGGAGGTTGAAAAGAGAGGTTTACTTATAATACTGCAACTGCTGCTGCTGCCTTTGTTGCTCCCACTTCCACCCCCACCTCCATTCCTATTGTGACAATTTTGATGTCCAGTTTCGTAAGGCATCCCCGGTGAAGCGGTGAAGTAGACCAGCCTCATGGACTGGCAAAGTTCTAAAGGGGCCCACCAAACAACCGCCATGTTAAGAGCATCCCAGGCCCACCGCGTGGGAATCCTGAAGGGACCCGACCACCTATTGAAAAAGCAAGCCTTCAAGCGAGCTAGTCAACATGCAAAAAATACGCAATTTGGGCCATGTTGAAAGTCTAGCCGGCAAACCGCCCACCAGCTGCTCCAGCAGTAGCTACCGCTGCAAACGGAATACAGCTTGCAAACAAAGCAAGGAGAACATGCCAAATCGCTAAAGGGTAAAGCACTTGCACGCGTACAAGAACACCATTGCAACACCTACTTTTGGTTGAAGTCCAAATTGTTTGGCGTTGGCTGCATCGCGGCCCGTATCGAAGCATGCAACTGTACGCAGTGAGGCACGCCACAGGACTCCTGCAGCATTTATGTTTCAAAATCTGGATGCAAACGTGCATGCTTCTAGTAGATTTTGCTGCACTCGCAAACAGAGAAGCAGGAGCAGTATACTAGAAGTACTAGTGGGCCACTTGAGGCTCTCCGACCCAGCCACGGTCACGTGCAGTTGCCAAAAATTGACGAATCCTTGATTGTGGTAGGAATCTTCGTGAGATTTCGTATTGATACTTTTACCACTGCTGCAATCCAACCGGCTCCAGCACCAGCACCGCAACTGCCACTGCTACCATCTATATTTTCCATTCCTGTTTGTATTGCTGTCAGCATTGCTTGAACTCAAAATGCTTGGCTTCCTTTGGCCCTTTGGGCTTCCTTGCAATGGGGGTCCTCAAAAAATAGCAGACGAAAACACATCTGCACCAGGTTCAGCTTTTGCATCCATAATTTTCAGCCGTTGCATCAAACCAATAATGTGCACCATCTAGAGTCGCCAAGGTGTCCGTGTCGCTCTTCATGGGCAAGCTGCTGGGCTCGCCCAAAGCCTGGGACGAGGAGCAGCTGCTGCGGAAGAAGGTGCCCTTCCTGGAGCCGGAGCCCTGCAAGGAGGCGGGAAATTTTGAAAACGAAAGGGAACCCGGAACCATTGGAATGAACGATTGCTCGGTTTGTTTGGGGGGAATGTGTCCTTTTTAGTGGACCCCCCACCCACCAAAAAAAGAAGAAAGAAGTTGCTTCGTTTAAAAAAATGGCTTCCTTGGAAGCCACCAGCCTCAACAAAAGATACCCCGATGTGCACATACCATCACATACCTATAACTTGTTTCCATACTGTGGCGGGACGAAATCCTGCACCACTTGGAAACCACGGGAAACCATTGTTGGTTGAAATTTACAGGGAATCATCATTCCAGTTAGGTGGTGCAGGATTTGGTCCAGCCACAGTATTGCCATGTTGAGTGGTGTTCTATGATCACATCACTTTTGAGTCAGGCCAGGTTTCCCTGAATTTCCTGTGGGTGGTATGACGTGCCAACGGTTCCAACGGTAGATGTAGGCAAACCCGATGTGCGGGAGTGAGGACGCGGACATGTTGTTTGCTTGGTTCATTTGAATGACCATGACAGATTTCAGGATATCACATGTTGTTGTACATCAAAATGTGTGCCCCTGAGAAGTCTTGCATTTCGACACCGACACATTGCTCGATGGATGCATGGTCGCGTGTACGCGCAACAAATCTGTGGAGTGCTTGCCACCTTTTCATTTTTGCTCCTTCCCTAGATGCCCGTGTGATTGTGAAGCCCACTGGTTTGGGGCGGTCGAGGGGGAAATTAGGTCATTGCCTTGTGAAGACTTGCCGTGTCACCATTTCAGGTCCGAGACCTTCAGGCATACGACCTCTTGGATGAGATTCCAGAGGAATCATATCTGCCACCAGAGCCGGATATCAGCCAGGCGCGAGCCTATGGACATGTGCAACCAGTTAACGCGCGCCGTAGATGCCACAGATATAGAGCGTTTTGATCACGGAGCAGTGAACATTGTGGGAAGGGGCTGTCACTCAGGTGGAGAAAGCGTTGCAGTGCTGCCAGGCCGCTCGCCTGGGTATTTGTTTTGCCCTTTCGGCCAGATGTGATTGCAGGTCAATTTGTGAAGCATAGTTTCATTTCCAGCCATTATTTGGGAGGCACGTGCCCACAGCATGCGTGTGTGTGTGTGTGTGTTTTCGTTTGCGCCGCTGAAACCTCAAAGCTTCAAGGTAGAGAGCTATAGGTAGCAAGGGCTAGTTCCATGCTGTCGTGCTGCGTAGCTCCAGACATTTCACGTGCCGAAATGCTCTCCGAAGAAGAGTTTCTTCGAAAGCAAGAACTGCTACTGGACGAGGAGATCCGCGCGGCGGGGATGGAGCACATATTGGGGGACAACAAATTCGATATGGGCGAAATCCTCAAGACGGATCCAGCCTTGAGGCCCTTGACGGAGGCTGAATTGGATGCCTTGGTGGAGGCTGAGATTGCCAGAGAAGGTGGGCTGGAAGAGCCCGACTGGGGCTCCATGTCGTGGATGGATGATGGCATGGAGCTCTTCCCGAACCAGCAGCCCATCCCGGCGGTGCCTGCAGTGCCAGAAGATGCACCAGTGGTGAAGGCGGTTCTGGTGGCGCCAACATACCAAACCAGCAAGCACGGCATGCCCCTGCTGGCCCAGTTGGACGTTCTCCTGGGATCTGTTGGTGCCTTGGAAGACATCCTGGTGGCATTGCAGCATGCAAAAGTCAGGACTCCAGAGCTGAAGATCTTGACGGATGCCAAGAAGAGCGGTGGCTGGCCTGTGGCACATGAGGCACCCACCAGGAAGAACATCCTGAAGTCTACTGTATGCAGTGGCTGGTGCAAGATGCCAAGGCTGGAGATAATCTACTTTTCTTCTTTGCAGGCCATGGTGGCCAGTCCCGAGACGTGGATGGTGATGAAGAGGATGGCAAGGATGAGCACATTTGTCCGGTGATCCAAGGGCAACATCCCAAGTTCGCTGCTGCATTCGA